TGGCGAAGGTGGGGGGTGAACCCCACACGTCGGCTCAAAAAGGAGAAGAGGAGGGGGCACCCTGGCAGAGGAGCACCCTTCTTCTCTGCAGACCTGTCGCCTCGGTGCAACAATGGCCGTGACAATGACACTGGAGGAGGAATTTCCACCCACCCGCCCACCTCCTTCACCACCACCAGCAGCACACACATGCATCCCCTCCCGATCTTTGCGGCGCATTAAAATCAGCAGAGGCAAGATGAATGACTCCCTAATAGCTTTCATTTGTTACAATTATCATAATTAAACATATGTCAGGGGCAGACAAAGGAACAGGAATATTTCTGTGTTAACACCTCAGGCGGTGGGAGATGCAGCCACCTGAAAGGGATCTTTTTGGTGATGTTATAATTAGTCCGGATAGACTTGGAGCATATTTACAGTAATTAAAGCCCCTCTGATTCAGTAATTCTGAGTTTCAATAATCTGTTTGCAGCAACATAGTGGACCCTATTTATTTTATATCCTTCTGTCATCCTCATGTCCCTGCTGCCTCTTTGAAGAGCACCTGCTGCTTTAAATGTTTCAACACACTTGGAACACTTTTGTTAGACTCTTTTATGCTGTAAATTCACCAACAGATTTTCTTATTCCTTTTAGAATCACAGATATGCAGCAGTGCAACATTTAGAGGAAATTTTCGCTCTCTTTCATTTACCTCTATCATGTCCTCATCTGCTGAGCTGGAGTTTCTGCAGCTCTTCTATAGGCTGATACTGGGACTCCTAAGACTCCTAATTTATCTCTTTTATTAATTCTTCTGTGCATTACATGTACGTGTTGGTGGCATTATAATGATACAGAGATTTTTTCCTTCACAGTTTTAGTAAAGGTGGTTAACTTGATCTGAAGGAACTAAATCATTACCTATTGTCACTCCTGCAATACTCTTCTCTCTCACTGTGCAATAACACATGCAAACTACTGTGTAGCCTGTGTAATATTTTACTTATTTTATAAAGTCAGTACATCTCTGCAGCACAAGTGCATGAATCCAAGTCAACTACAGTGTAGTCTTTCCTTAGTCCTTTACTGTGCAGATATTTTTATATCTAAAGGGAACATATTCCAGGACAGTCCAACTTTTGTATGTTCTTTTGTGCTATATACACTCTTTTTTATATTTTCTGTTGTATTTTTATCTTTAATGACATCTTGCTTTAACTTTTTGTACTCTATATAAGCTACTGGAACCAGAATGCCCCTGAAGGAATAATCCCAGTGAATAAATAAAGTTGAGTCTAAGTCTAATAGGCCAAGAGGGTGTAACAGACTAAATTCTACATTTGACTTAATTTGACTTAACTACATTCTACATTTGACTTAATGTCCAGCAATTATTCTCTTGGTTGTTCATTTAAAGGTGTCCTTAATGAGCCAATCAGTCCTTTTTATTCTGGGTTTGATAACTCTATTTTGTGTTTAATCATTCTAAAAGAAAGTATGAGAAAGGCTCCGTTTTTGCATTTTTATAGAGATAATAAATGTTTTATAAAGTACATGTTTTAGAATGTTGGTTACTCTGGTGTACTTAAGAATTAGACTTAAAATAATTAAATTGAGTCAAGATTTCACGGAGAAATGGGGAAATTGTAGCTATAATTAGTATGAATTGGTGCCATCTTTTAATACACTGTGCACAGCATGGCTGATTGGAAATGAAAACACGCAGCTGTAGAGGAATTTATGGATTACCGTTTTTCTGAGTGTACCCCAAAGGCTATGAGGCCCTGGGTGGTGAGCCATATCCCCTCTGTAAAAGAAAAGAGGAATAAAATAAGTTGGTGAGGGTTGGCTGAAATGAGAAAGAGTGAGAATGATCAAAAACATTGGTGTTGAAACAGGAAAAAAAAAAAACGTTTTTTCAGAGCTTCCTGTAGAGACTAAACCAAAGACCGTGGCTTAACCCTTAATTGTCCTCCAACATGAGCACATACATGAAATATCTTTTATTTAATATTTTTCACTTACAGCCCAGCAATCTTGACAAGACAAGCTCCTTAAATGAAAAATAAATCAACACAGCACATTTCTTCAGAAAAATATACCCATTTCATTGACATACAGGGTTTTTTTCTCTCTCGCTCTCTCTTCAAACATTTTTAAACGGTGTGACCCTGGGATCAGCCTCACGTTTTAGATAACAGCTCATTTAACCTTGACAGCCGCATGTGAGACAAAATAAACTGCAGAGGTTTGCGCAAACGCGACCAAGTATACTTCTTTTTTTGGAAGAACAAAAAGGAGCGCAAATTTAAGAGATTTCTGAACGCAGACCATCATTATTTGGAGTTTCTTATGAAAAAAAAGACAACACACAGAAGTGAACCTTCTCTGTTTCAAAGCACATTTTTTCAAGTTTTTAATCAAGTATTTTTATCTGACTGAATATGGAGCTCTGTAGAGATTATTAAGATTTTCCTAATCCTTCAGTAGAACTTCCTCTGTTTTTTTCACCATCTTGAGTGCAGAAGTTACAGGTGGATTAAATAAAGAATGAGCTCAGTCGGTACAAAATAAATAAATTAAATAAAAAATGCTCAGTTGTGCAGTCATACTGAAAAGCAGATGTGGTCAAGGTGAGAAGACTTTATTTTAGTCTTCGGCGGGATGTGATAACTTCTCAAGGTTATCTGCATCTCAGCAGAGAAGAAAACACTCAGGGTTTCCACGATTCAGGAAAACACGCGTGATTTCAATAAATGATTGATTTCTAATCGTCCAGATGTTTTCCAAACTCTGATTATGACGATGTTTCAGTATTGAGTGCTTAAGCAGTGTGACAGATCTGTGATGGTTATATGAGAGAGGCTGCGCTCTGTCTGAGTCAGAGGATTTCTCTTCCTAATGATCACCTTTGTCTTGACGCAGACTACAGGCGTCCTTCTCCTTTAGCGCAAACACGGAATGATACATAATTTGTATTTTGGGTACCTGCTGAATAAACAGAGCTGACAGTGAAGAACTGCGGCTCTAAACAAAAACTGGCGTTTGAACGCGCGTTTCGTTTAAACAGTGAACCTCCTTTGGGCACATTTTTATTTGCGCACTTTTACGAAGCGCTTCTTTTTAGTGTCGCAAACTTCATTTTTATTTCTGTCCGCGCTCCTCTCTGCGCCTTTCTTTCCCCTCTTTTTTTCGTGCTGTTGCTAGGGAAGCAGGGCGTATTCGCTCCCTGGCCGCGGATAAAAAAACAGACATAATGCGTAAATTAGAGGCTTTCATGAAGCTCTTCTGCAACAATCACGATTTTAAACCCTCATTGCACCTAACTTATGACTCAAATCCGGGAATTATTGAGCGCTTAACGCCACATTTCGGCGCTTTTTCTCCATTACCTTATATGGCATGGCAGATATAAATCGTGCCTGTATTTAATAGGCTGGCCGCTGCCGCTCTGCTCCACAGCTTCACTTTTAACCCTTGTGGTGCTGAATTATTTTTTAGAGCAAGGGGAAAAAAAGGTCGGTTTGATTTAGCTTTTCACGCCCTTTTTGTGACAAAAAACGTAACGAAATAACCAATTTGGCACCAGCTTTAAAAGGAGGGCACAGTTCAGGAACAGTAAATGTGATGATTTGCTCCATTTTGCGCTCATGTTTCCAATAAACTCTCCCACAAATCAGTCGAGTCGGTGACATTTACAGCGCAGAAGACAAGCTCCCCGATGCTGCGGTCTAAGCTGCAGGATTTAGATTGTCCTGATGTAGATTAAATGGCAATATTTCAACCAATAACAAGCGGTGGAGGTGGTTTTCAGATGGCAAATGAACTGAGCGCCGTGGCAACGGATTAGTGAAGTTGCCACAGGTAAAATGAGGGCTGCACAGCGACTCTGCAGCGTGACTCTAGTCGGTTTTGACTATCAGACTGTGTCTGACCTATATTTGCAAAGAGGCTCTTGTGCGTAATCGAACCGAACATTTACAAAAAAAAAGGGAACTTCAGCATCAGTTAAGCTTGGGTTACACTGTTACTTTCACACATCAGCAACCATCTGTGTTCATGTCTTGTTGTACCAAAAATGTTTAATTGTTAAGACAGAAACGTCAAACTCGTGGTATCGAATTTAGAGATTGCAGGCTGGACTCTCTTGTTTGACTTCTATGTTGCAGCAAATGTGGCGAGATTTTCTCTCCAATCCCGCAGGATGATGCTGCCGCCACTGTGGTCTTTGCTAGATGAAACCGTTCAGTCAAAGTCTGGCTGTGAAGTAAACACATTAAACGTTGTTTTGAACTTGGCAAAATTATGCAAGGGAACTAAACTTTTAAGAGAATAATAAGGAGAAATTTTCTGTGAATGAGTTATGGTTTTAATCGGTTTTAAGTCTCCTTCAGCTGGATCTAATTGTGGACCTACTTTCGGACATTCTTAAGGCAACTTTAATGTTCTGAAATGTTTTAGTCTTTTTGTATGTTTTATGTAGCAGGAGGCTACATATTTTTTGTCATTCCATTATATCTCACTGTGAGTTGTAAAGGCGGGTCTTGTTATCAAATGACTTTCTTGACTTTTCTTAAAACATGCATCTGCCTTTATATGTCTACTGTTGCATTTAGGTTTATATAGTCTATTCATTTTGTCCAAGGTCTTGTAGGGCTGGCTTCAATTTTGCTCCAATTCAACTTTTTGTCTCATCTCCAAGATTACTCTTCCAAGTTCACCAGTGAGGAATATGTATTCAGACTTTATGTGTCAGAGAATTACATATATTGTCTCCTGGTTTATTTAACGCCTAATGGCAAGTGGCAGCTTGAAATGTGCTTAGAGCCACATGTAGAAGTAATTGTGGATTTGTGCGCCCTTCTCATCTGATCAGGTGATACATTTGAATTTCAAATCATGCTCCTCGACGAAGTCCAGCTTTTGGATAAAAACCACAACCTCTCTGTAAGGTCTCCCCTCCCCGTTCTGACGTCACCGGAGAGCTGCTCAGAGCGGATCCACTGTGAATATCTCTACGCTCATTGCCAGGACCGAGGAGTGTGCAGAGAGAGGAGGAGAGAAGGTGGAGGGAATACGTTCGAATTTTGGATCCTATTGGAAAACTACGGTGTGCGCACGGCACGCACCGACAGGAGACGTTTCTGCATTTTCACCGTGCGCCCCCCCCCCCCAACCCCTTCCCCATTGAGATCGGATCGGAGCCGAGAATGGAGCTCCCTGCCGCCGGCGAGCACGTCTTCGCGGTAGAGGGCATCGAGAAGAAGCGCATTCGGAAGGTAACAGCGGGAGAGCGACGTCTGCAAAGACGTCGAAATGTTGCATGTTTTTTTTTTTTGCATCCGAGACTAATCCAGTTATTTTTCCCCTCCTTCCCTAACGTCTCAGGGCAAGATCGAGTACCTGGTCAAGTGGCGCGGCTGGTCTCCAAAGTAAGTCTGAAACCTGCTCATCAATAATATCAGGGCGGTTATTAAACCAAAACAAAAACATGAACCAATCCAAGTATTGCAGCTATTAATGAAGGGCGTTGCGCGCACAAATCCGTAGGCGTTTATGTGTGAGAGCGTGGATCCACGGATGCCTTCACTAATTTATGCTGGAGGGGGGGTGGGGGGTAGGAACAGCCATGTAATCCCGTTTTAATTATTTCTGCTCTGCCAGCGAATTTACGAGACATAGTGCTGCTAAAATGGCCGACTCGATGTTGGAGCTAAAGGAGCGTTTGGATAACACAAACACACACATACAGACCCACACACACACACACACACACTTAATTTCTGTTATGATTGTTTTTGCCTCTGCGGTCGGACACATTCTTTTGTTTATAATCCTTAAAAAAAAAGATACAATAACTCTGTAGGTATTTTCTTCTATCTTCCAATATTCCTGTTTTGGATTGAAACCCGCAGCCTTTACCTATCCAGGACGTTTTGACGCGTGGGGAATGTGTCCGCGGGAGACATGTGCGTGTCAGTTTGAAAAAGGAAGTTTGCACGTGACAGCTCCCTGACAGCTGTCTGCTTCTCTCCTCTCTGCAGGTACAACACATGGGAGCCGGAGGAGAACATCCTGGACCCGCGCCTCCTGGTTGCGTTTCAACACAGGTGAGCGACTCTGCGCGCGGCGGCGGACTTCGGACCAGGCCGCGCAGCCTCTACTTCAGCCACTACCATATAAGGGCATGGGAGGAGGGGCGCTGCTTCTAGTCAGCCCCTCCCCACCCCCTTCTGATCCCCCACTCCTTGCTTGAGTGGGAAGGGGAGGTAGGGGGGGTATTCTGGACGTGGTGGTTTGAATTCCTAAATTATGCTCTTGGAAAGACTGGATCTGAGGAACCTAAAGGGGATATTTGATCAAATCAAACCCAAATCAGAAGTTGATCAACACCCAGAATGAAAATTTGATCTAGAAACTGAAGTAGGAGGGTGTTTTTTTTTTTTTTTTTTTTTTTTTTTTTTTACTAAAACCTGCTTAATTCCCAATTTGAACAAACTACATGCCTTCATTTTTTTTGCTTCCTATCTGGAATTTGGATGACATTGATGCCAGCCACTGAGGAGGTTGACTAAACAGGCTCATTGTTAAAAAAAAAATCAGAAATGTGGTGAAGCAACCATTTTGAACAAACTTTTTCATAGGTCGGTGTGTAAATGTGTGAGAATCAGTAAAAGATTCACTGTGGTGTTCAGTGCATTGGAGTTCTCTGACTGGCACTACATACATCACATTTACCATGTTTATTTCTTTATTGACTCTATTTTTTTCTCATTTGTGCTCTTGGTGCTTGTGTCACTGATCCCCTGCCCTGCAGACTTCCTATAATGTGAGGAAAACGTATGATATTCCTGAGCAGATCTGCACCTGACACCATAAGGAAACCAGACCCGCTGTCCTGTTTGCCTAAACTGCTGTGACAAGACACAACCAAACAAACAAAACACAAATTCGGTCATGGCTCTGTGTTTTGGTTTGTCGCTTCTACTGGTTTCCATCTTGCAATGGGTGGCTTCCAAATTATCTAAACTAATTTAAGAGTTGTTGGCTAGAACTTGATTTATTTAGAATAAATCAGTCCAACCTTCATATCTTTTAAGCCCATCATTGACTTTGGTTACATATTTGTTCAGTTTTTTTTCCTTCCTCTCCAGAGTTAGTTAGCATAGTTTCAAATGTCTCATGCTCACCTATTGCTCCAGTTCTTCTCTTTTCCATCTTTTCACCATAACATAATTCTGACATTCTCTATGTCCTTTCCCAACCCCTTAGACATATTGGCCATGGTAAAAGTTTTTCCTTAAAGCCCTTTGTATTTAAATTTTTTTACAACCACCTTTGATAAGATTGAACTTCGTAACTGGATGGTTTCAAAGAGAGGTCAAAGCCTCAACACTTGCCTGAAAAACAATCTGAATCTCTCAAATGTCGGTTTTAGAGGGCAACATGTTAATTAAATCAAATGCCACTGTCACCTAATCCTGCACAACTGCATCTCGTGCAGACCCACGAGGCCTCTGACATATGCTCTCTCTGTAGGCCAGCAGCCTGCTCAGGGGGCCGAGTGAAGGCGTGATGGCTGGGGAAAGGAATTCGCTTTTCTGAAAAGGCTAATTGACACACACAGAGCTTCTCAACGCTTCTAGTGTACGGCTCTCATATTCCCCCCACTGCCTGCCTGCCTCCCCTGCCTGGGTATAGAGCTGTGTGCTGGGATGTTCACGGAGGGCTGCCTCTGTGCTCTCTCTTTCTCTGTGTGTGCGTGTGAGCGGATTCCTCCCTGCTCCCATTGGATGGGGGAGGGGGAGCCGACGAGGGAGTCTGTAATTGCCAAATCTTGTGTGAATAGGGGTCACCCTGTTAGATGGCGTTTTCCAAATTGCGCACATTACAGCGGTGGGGACTGTTTATTGTGACGATGTTCTGGCAGCTCTGATCGTTTGAACATCTGCAGCACGAGGCCGACATTGAGGGTGGGTGTTGGAGCACGCCTGGGGAAGCATATTTACAGCTGGCCTTCGCCCGCCGCTGGTTATTTATGAGACGATGCTGAGTCAAAGCTCCTATCGGGCCTGGGGGGATTTTTCACACATGGTGTTGTCCTTGATCTGACCAGCTCTGTTATAATAACACAAATCTCAGTCCCTTTTCATTAGAAATAGTTTCAGGAGACGTTTTCTTGACTGCCTACCCTTTATATTGCAATGTTTACAGTAATGATCGTATGCCTTATATTTTTTCACATTTGCCATGCTAAAACTACAAACTTCCATGTTTTTCTTTTTTTTTTTTTTCAGTAAGACCAACACGGTAGTTAAAATGGTGAAATAGAAAGGAACAGATGAAATCAGATACACATGGTCCTGTTGACCTTTTTTTTGTGTGTTTATCCCCATTTTTGCACTTTCCTATTTTAAAGATATCTCCAGCTCTTTCATATTGAATGGACAGTTTCTGTGGCAATCCTTAAGTCCTTCCTCAGATCCCTGGTTGGATTTTGGCTGGACTTTGACTAGGCCATTCTAACACAGGAACATGCTCTTGTCTTTTGAAGCCCCCTAACAAGCTGTTCTTTCAGTTTTTTAAGCCCAATTCATCTTCTCATTAACTTCTTTCTCCTCTTCCTTCCATCCATACCATTACACTGGTGTTGTTGTGGGATTTAGATTAATAGAGTAACCCTGCTTTAAACTTCTTTATAATTTTATTCCTGGGCTGTCTAAATTACATTGTGTTGATTTATATCATGTAAATCACCATATAAAACAATAAAGAGCGTGGGTGTAATGTAACAAACTGTGGAAAATTTACTTGGCTGGCCATCTGAGGAGGAAGGGTGGTCAGTTTAAAGGCGAGGACTTGAGGAGTGCTTGTTCCATCTGTAGCTCCTAATCAAATTTCTCCGCAATAATGAGAATATGGAATTGGTTGATCACCATGAAGAGCTATGCAGATGAGGATCAAAAAGATTTGCACTGACTCATGGGTGGGCATTAAATAGTGCTCTGAATCATTGCTCCGATTTTGAACATGAGTAGGTGAAAGAAAACGATTACAAACCTGTAACTTTCAACATGATTTGATGTAGTTTTACTGCCTTTGTAATGCTGACATAATCTTTTCTTTTGGCAGAGAGAGGCAGGAGCAGATGATGGGATACCGAAAGCGGGGACCAAAACCAAAACATCTTCTGCTTCAGGTACTTCAGAAGAAATATCCTGACTCATTGAAACACTTGAGCAGGTTTCACTTTCTAAGGTATCCTAGAAGAAGGAGCACAGTCAGGTGTGCCACACCTGCTGTCAGTATGCTTCTCGAAACCCTGTGTGGGAGGGAGGGCTCCCACAGGTTTATCTCTGCACTCAAACTGAAACGTATGTTGTATTAGGTTCAAAATGTACTGATGGAGTGGACTCATTTTATCTGCCAGCTTACTATCTTACCATGCAAAATAGGCATGCAAAACCTTTATTACACTTCAAGTCACTATGTTTAGTGAGCAAACATCCTGCTTTTTGCACCAACTTGTGAGAGTAGGATGTTTCTTTTTTCCTCTTTTATTGTCGTTTTGGGAATGGATGCGTGCTCTCTTAAGAGAAGCATTTACAGACGCTCTTTCAGAGCCAAGTGTGATTATATATTTCAAGTTTGTCCTGATTGCTGTGCAGCATCGCTACTGAAGATGCTCGCCACGTGGCCTGCAATCGGGGGCAGAGCGTGACACGTCTGGTGGCACTTGAGTGACCCGGAGGTCGCAGCCAAAAGCGCCTTGATTACCGTATTCTGCGTTTCCCCTCTTACGGGTCACCCAATGGTGCTTTGAACTGAGACCTTATTCCATATGGATACTTTAGCAGCTTTACTTTTAAACCTGACTGCATTGCAGTTAAACCATGAAAAGATGCATGTCCTTTGTGTTTTGAGGAGGATGATAATGTTAATTCACCGTCTCTTCATTTTAAAGTAACTGGTACACAATAAGATGAGATTCCCTGTTTTTAGATTTTATTGTACTAAAAGAATTAGGATGCATCGTAACACAAGGGAAATAGCTAATGTGCATGTTCACAATAACAGTGCATGAGATCAGTAGGTCGAGGCAGAAAGCTGTGTAGCAGTTGGATCTGGGTTTGATGTTGAGCCATTTGCCTGGTGGCAGCAGATCAAAGTTCTCTGCAGAGCATGCTTTTTATTGTTTCCCTGGGGTTATTCCACAGTTTAAGGCAAATGGAAGATTCAAAAGAAATGACAAATAAAAAAACTTACATGTAGCAATTCCTGGACACTCTTTCAGCAAGCCACACTACTTTGCAGGACGGTCTTCATTTGATGTTATTCAACAGGATTGGGAAATTCCAACATTAAATAATGTAGACTTAACCTACAGAACAGATCATGGAGCCTCCAAAAACCTTTTACATCCCCTTATTGTTATTTGCAGAGTCATTTTTAGTGTTTTTAATGGATAGATCAACAGATTGGTCATATTAGTAATTGTTAAGATCTGAAAATACAAAAATATGGAAAATAGTAAAAACGTTTCTGACAGATTCTTGACTTTTCAATTACTTTTAGCTCCCCTTACTATCCTTTGCAGGACACTACTTACTGCCGTATTTCAGACATCAACAGGTGTTGAAGAATAAATTGTTTTGCTTTAGTTTCTTAAGAAAGGGGAGTCCTGTTGTGATTGTAGAACAAAAATACAAGCCAGGTTGTCATATCAGCTCCCTTTTAAATTGTTTTTATTGAATACTTTTGTTACTTAAAAAAATGTTATTTATTTCCAACTTTTTTGGAAGTTTTGACAATTATAGGTCAGAATGTGGGAAGAAAGGTTAACAAATGTCTTTTCTTTGCTTAAGGTGCCATCATTTGCCCGGAGATCAACCATCCCAGCTGGATTCCAGGAAACAGCCAATGAAGCAGACGGTACCCTAAAGTCGGACTCTACACAGGTCCAACGCTCCCAGCCCCAGCAGTACCAGCTGAACAGCAAAAAGCACCATCAGTACCAACCCAGCAGCCAGGAGGTCCCTACTGATGCGCTGAGCAACAGCAAAAAGAAGTTCATCTACCAGCTCAACAGCAAGAAGCACCACCACTATGAGCCCGACCCACACATGTACGACGCTCAGGTTTCGAGGCTCAAAGAGGTGGTCAAAGTTCAGGAACCGGCCAGCAATCTGGCAAATCCTGGGTGGACCTTGCCCCTGGCCCTTCAGCAGAAATGGATCCACAACAAAGACACTGGTTGTTTGAGCAAAGTCAAAGAGCTCGCAGTAGAGGTGAGGAAACCGGTTAAAGAGGCGCAGAGTGAGAATGCTCTGAAGCCCAACCCTAAGGAGGCCAGTCTGCCTACTGCTGTCAGCAGCAAAATGAAGATAATCAAAAATAAAAACAAGAACGGACGCATTGTTATTGTCATGAGCAAATACATGGACGGTAACAAGGTTCACGGAGCAAAGGACAAACACAGGGAATCTTCAAGGGATGAGAAAACGCACGGCATCAAAACATCCGAAAACAATCCGGCACCCATGACCAAAATTGATGAACACCCCGAGAACGGGATTCCCAAAGAGATCTGTAAGGGCAGCTCCCTCTCTGTTGCAGAGCATCCTTTGAAATGCTCCCCCAAAGACAGACAATTTTCCAAACCTTCTCCGAGCACAGCCGAGGAATACAACACCGAAGTGGCCCGCGGTCAGGCTGATTTACCGGAGGGTTTATCTTTGCAGCTGACAGCCAGTTCCCCCCAAACTTCCTGGACTGCCGACACTGCCATTCCAACCCCTACTGCCATTGACCAGATCCGGATCCCCTCTTTCCCCTGCAACCGGAAGCGTAAGCTTTCAGATCCCATTGAGGACAGGAACGTTGGTCAAATCTACCTGGCATCGAGGAGTTTGAGCGTGCCCGCTGCTACGATGGCGCCCCCTCAGGACAAACCCATGGACCTTCACTGCAGCACGGCACGTCACAGCGGTATGTGTACGACGTATCAAGAGGTTGGAAGCCAGGAGGAGCCGATGGACCTCAGCTGCCCTAAAAATAAGCGGCCGGTCGAAGTGGAAGCCCAGCCGCCTGCAAAGCCCGAGCCAGCCATTGAAGACACTTCTTCTGCGGTGAATAACACGCAGAAATCTTTGGATAAATCTCCAGAGGAACCTGCAAAACAAATTTCCCCCTTCATGGGAAACATCATCATCACTGATATTACCACAAACAGTCTCACCGTCACCTTTAAGGAGTATGTTTCTTTCTAAACTATGGGACCCACAGCTCTGATTGGCTGAACCTGTGAATATGTGCATATGTAAAAGAAAACAGAAATTTGTACATATATTGATGAAATGTATAATTTATACATCAAATCCAGTATGTTTCCTATAACATTTTATACAGTAAGTACTTTGTGATGTTGTAGCCAAGAAAGTGCCCTCGACTATTTGAGCGAATGCATCACTTGGGTGGAGAATCTTCACCCAAAACAAAAAAATCTTTGTCTCCTGGAGTTTAAGAAGGGAACTATCGCTGTTTTTCATACTTGTACCAAACTTATAACCTTAGCTATATGAAGGTTTATACATGTTTCTTATTACTAATATCATGTTGGTGTGAGAGAAGGTTATTGATTGGACTGTTTGCAGAGCAGATTTAAAGCACTTAATGCATTTTCATACGTTTCATAAGTGTCATTGCTGTCGAAGAAACAGTCAGAGATTTTCTCTTTATTTTCTTGGTGTAATAGACAAACCTAGCATTGTTGATTGGCATCTTTAGCTTTGCTCTTGGATTTTTTTTTAAAGTGTTCAGCCATGACATGCAAATTCAAAAATGGCAGGTGTGTCATAGGGCAGTGCTGCTGGCGCAGAGGGAGGTATCTGCTCCTTCACTGCAATCTGGCTCAAACTGAAATGCATCCGTTTTAAAAGTCAAATCTTTTCTGCTTGTTTGAACTTGGAAAAACAAGTTTTTGTTACGTTGGAAAGAAAAGAAAGAATAAATCCTAGGACCTGTAGGAGTTTACTTGTTGCGTACAAAATTGCAAATAAACTTGACTTGTTTGTATGCAATTTCTGCATTAGTGGATGTAAAATATGAGCTATGAGCTTATTTTCCTCAGCTGAGAAACACCCATGTTGCTAAGCAATTTCAATCTGCCTGAGTGGCTACAACTACCGGTAGTCATTTTTGACCAAGAAAGGACAATATGAGCAGATATTTGGTGGTTAGAGAATATATAGCCAGTGAGTCTGATACAGGTTGGCCCCCCGTTTAAATTCTGCTAAAGGGCTTTAAAGACTCTTTGACCGGCTCTAGATCAGAAGCATATCTTAATTTTTAAGACTTTTGCTTTAACCATAACAATATCGGACCAAATATGATCTACACACTGCCTTTGAATGCCACATTTATTTTTTATTTCTACTCCAGTCTTTTTGAAACAGCCAATCCCACCAGCTTGTTTCTTTCCTATCCACCAGGTGTGCAGCAAACTTTTAGAAATGATCTGTTCAAACTCGACATCAGCTGGTGAGGTAGAGTCTAACTGTTGCTACGATAACATAGAGCAACATTTTCAATTTGTTTTGAACTGTTTAAATTTCCAGCAATGGTGGTCCTGTCTGCCGAGACATTAGCCTATAACTTCACTTTTTACCACACCTACTAAAATATGACGTTTTTCCATAAGCTGTGAGGAAAACACTTCTAGAGTTCAGTACAAAGAAGTTTGTTACTCATAAAAAGTGAATCTCCGTTACTTTATTTTCACTGTAGCAAAGTTATTTTTCCTTATGTAAATCTGGAGCTAATCTCATCACTTTATTTGTCAAAGCTCACTGTAGTATTCTGAAAGTTGCCAAGGTTGTAAATCATAGAGACTGAATGGGACTTTCCACTCAGATCTTGTGACTCTGAGTCTTTTTTTGATTATTCATGCTGCTGATGATTGAAAAGCTGTTGGATGTAAGCTACAGCAACGTTCATGTCCGAATAGCCTTCTCCGCACATTTAACCCCAATCCAGTCAGAATGCTAATACAACAGGCTGCGATGATGAAAGTTAGGAGTGCGTATTTATTGATGTTAAAGCTTTGGTTCAAAGAGCCGGATTTGCTTACTGTGCTTCATTTTCCTTAAAAGGTTTCATCGCGAGATACTTTTTTTTTTTTAGTCTTTTTGTTGTTTTTTTTCCTTTGCTCTGTCTTTGCACTCTGTTTAAAGTGGAAATGATTGTTATAAAGTATGCTATATCTGCTGACCTGTATGCTCGGCGCCCTGGATGGTATGTCTCACAATAAAAACAGAGATTTGAACTCTGACATGTGTGCGCTGTTATTGTTAATGTTTATTTTTTTATTCTGTAGACACCAGAAATTCCCGATTTCCAGAAAAAAATAAATGCTCGCATGAAGAAGACAAAAATATTCAAATATGAGTAAAATAAAATAAAAACAACTGCTGTTTAGAAGGCTAAGCTTGTAAAAACAGATTGTGTTGCATAATCACAGAGTATCCTGCACAAAGGGCTTTCTGTGTTGCATAACTGCACTGGTCACTTGTGGTTATTAAAACCTCAGCCTTGCATTATTTTTCCTACTTTGGCTCAGACCCCAGCAGGAATGTAAACATCCAACACGATCAAAGAGAGAAGGAGGCTAGGAGAAGTGATTGTGTATTTTTAAGGGCCTTATCGTGGAGAAAAGCTTTATGGAAGGTGAGGAATCAGATATGTGGAATGTAAGTGTGCTTTGCAGGAAACGGTCTCAGGATGACTTCTAATTATAATGTGGCTGCTATCTTCCCAGAACACCAGCTAAGTTGTTGTAAAAGACTGTGTTTAGGTGGCCTTTGTCACGGTGACACAGCAGTTTCATTGTCAGATATCTTCACTTAGCTTTAGAGTCACTGGCACAAGCTGCAGCCAGAGCTTTTCTGAATGAACTGTAAACAGGAGGCTCCAAATGTTACATGGCCTCCTCAAAAAGGGGTTACTGAAGGCCTGGAGCCTGAAGTCTGCTTTCAGTGCAAAGACAGAAATAGTTGCCTTGTTTTTTTCCTGTGCTGAACTGAGGGAGGCTAAAAGATTAACTGTTGAATGCCTCTTAGAGAGAAAGGACCTGGAATGTGTGCAAGGTGTCTAATTTAGGAGGCATCAATTGAAGAATGTTGACTTTGAAAACTCAGAGAGCTTTAATTGTCATTCAGGGACAAGAAGGGCAAAAATAATGCAAAAGAATTTGAAAACTCAACTTTTTCATGGAGCTGTAGTGGATGATTAATCTCTTTAAATAGTCTGCAGGCTTTGTTTTATTACGAATGTTGAACATTGTCACTTGAAAAGGTACATTGAGCTTAAAAATGCATGAAAACAATCTAAGGTCCTTCATGTAGAGTTCTGGGAATAGATGGAAATCAAACAAGCAGCTGGTTTGAGCCCAAAAAAAGAACTTGGTTTCACACGAGGAGGGTTTATAGACTCACCAGCTTTACACATACTGTACAACGGAAATGTTGAAATGGTAGATTAATTATTTGTCATAATGTAAAACTGTAGTTGCCCTCACAAACAGCTGTGATAGAACGAATAACCCTTACTGATCAGCCTGTACAGTCTACAGGCATTTGAAATAACATCAAAGTTTTTCAACATATACAGAGTTTATTCAAAGAAGAAAGAGAAAATTATCCCATTTAAAACTTGGCTCTATGTACCAGGACCTGCTATATAGAGCCAAGTTTACTGTTAAACGTCATTTAGGCTGGTGGACAATAGGTTTGACTAACTGAGCCCCACAAATACAGTTTGGGGCTTTAAAAGACTGAGCCAAACATTTAATTTGTCATTATGTATCCTGACCTGGGATAAACTCAGTAAATCACCTTTATTTTTCTTCTTCTTCTTCTTCTGTGCTCCTGGGGTTTTATGCTGCATGTCTTCCCAGGGGCCTTTGGTAAACAGAACCACATTTATTTGTCTCTTTTAAAATACAAATTGAAACTTATGATCATCTCTGTATTTAGTTTAATTCATTCAACTATCACATCTGATCTGGCCCCCACAGCATGATGCTGCCACCACTAAGCAAATGGTGTTTCTATATGAGAGCACTTTAAATACAAAGTTTCTCTGCACCAGTATGACTTTGTTTATAATGTGTTCAAACACAAAATACACATCTTTCTTATAGACTGGAATGGGACAAGAATATGAAAAAGTTTAAGGAAATTAAATAAATAAATACAAAAACTGTTTGATGGAAATCATTGTTTATGAGTCTCTATTTTTACACCTTCTTATGAAACCATATTTCAAATTGTGCATTTTAGCTACCTTATATTTGAACCTCTATAGTCAGAAATGTTCAAAACTTTTAAAGTTTTTTTTTTCTTTTTTTCTTTTGGGTTTCCCCTCATATTTTCAAGATTATCACAACGTCTGACAGACATTTGATCAGGAATTTTACTGGGAACACTCAATGTATTTCCTGGTGCAGGAAGTGAAATGACTATCACTGAAAAAAAAATAATGCATGTGCTTTTGGCATTCACTTAATCACATTTAGTTACTTTAACACAATAGTTTTATGTTCTACCCGTGTTAAAGTAACTACATATAAATAAGTAAATGCCAAAAACGGTTGCATTATTTTTTTCAGTGTGCAAAGAAACATCAAATCAACCTCATACCGTGCCTGTAGTTTTTTTCCCCTGCTAGAGGTTAACTTTAACAATTAAAAGCATTGATGCATCTAGGATACACTTGCACAAGAGAAAACAACAAAAAACAAACAAAATTTCTCAATAATGTCCCATAATTTCCATATTGTGTGACATTAAAGGGGTTTTCTATTCCAAATGTTTTTTAAAACGACCGCATGGTTGAACTCTAAGGATTTGCGGGATTAGAAGGTGTGAAACCGGTGGAAGGAGCGCTCTTGGTTCGCGTGTGTCACTTTAAACAATATGCAAGTCAGCCCGCCATGCATCAGCGGCTATAGAGGAAACTGAAAGATCTCTGAGCTGGCTAACATATTTATAGACCAAGTGAGATGTTTCACATTCCTCCTTTATCATCATACTAACTGCGGTGGCAGTCAGCACAGAGGTGCTTTCATTTTAATGCTTATGTGTGACCCGCTGCAGGCCTGTGATGGCCTTAGGAGGGCAGACATTCATTTGATTATTATATAGAAATGGAAGCTTGATTATGCTTTGTTTGCATTTGTTATATCGATGGAAATTGAACTTTAATCAGCCTGTTTTAGGAATGCAATCATATTAAGTCATAATTAGTCAAACCTAAAAAAAGAGGCGTAGTGCATTCTCTATATGACGATTTCCAGCCCAAACTTCACACTGAAAGCAGGTCCCGGTGACGCGGCTTTGCAACTTTCTGTCGTGTGGTTTTATATCTCAGGCACCTTTCAGTACAAAATGCCGCTCCGAGAGTAAGTAGGACAGCGAGCAGAGTGCAGCATGTTGCCATGAAACCAGAGAGCCAATAATGTTCTCACTCACAGAGCCCGCTCTGTGCGTTCATGTGCGGCAGTCGCCATTGCGGCTCCGTCCAAATATGGAGAAACGCTGCAGCGGCAGAAGCGGCGACGCGCCGTTTGTGCGCCGCTCGCCAGCCTGAGCTCAAACCGTGCAGGCTTCAGCCATTCCAGCACCGACAGGAAATGTCGGTCTGCGCGCAGAGAGTATCAAAATGGTGGTTCATATTTCGACGGAGGCAGCCTTAACGCATCTTTGGTCCGCCCAGCGCAGAGCCGCGCCGCGTCTTTGTTTGCGCCGCTGCTGGGAGAAATTCATGAAACAAGATTAAAGCAGCGGGATTGTCAGCTTGGCATAAACGATCGGTGATGAAAAAGAAAAAACTGAAATGTTGCCTGCAGCTTTAAAAGGTGCGGAACGACTGCCTTCCAGCTCAGTCAGTTTAAACCAATTTGATTCTAAATCTGGTTTAAAAACCGATCCAAAACCTTTATCAAGGCCATCTTCCGCTGGGTTTACACCTTTATTAAAATACAGAGAGCAAAGAAAGAGGAAAGAAAAAAAGAATCCAATCAACAATGAATCTTCTTTATGTATTTTACTAATGATATAAACAAGAAGATGTGTCTCGGAATTTTTTTTAAAGTAATGTCGCCTTTCGGTTAACTGCTTCAGTTCTTTCCATCCAGAAAATGTCTCTCCAAATGTTTCCAATTCACCTCATCAAAAAGAGAAAGACGCAGCAATCATTTCAAAACGTCCAGTGTTTAATTAGTTAACCAGGGGCCAGGAAATATATCGATTAACCCAATAAACTCACACAGGCCTGCACCAGCCCAGTATATTTAAATGTCATCACTGACTTAAGGAGAACCATGCAGATATCGAAAAGTCATTGTGCAATCTTATTCCCTCAATGTTTTCCACAGTTTAAATCATTTTTTAATCAGAATAAAGAAATTGTCGGCTTCCTGACTTTTCGTTGAGTTTGTGTGAGTCAGTTCGCATTAGACTGGTGACCGTATTTCTTGGCAAAATGAAAGACTTGCAGGCCTGTTCACCATTTAAAAAAAATCTATAACCAATATAATATTTATTGTATTTAAATATTACAAGAAAGAGTGGCCGATACAATAAATACACATGTACTAAAAAATCTCTCCCGAGCTTTTGATATTTGGTTAAAAAAAAAATAAAAAGAAATGACGGGGCTTGCCACAGTTTCATTGAGCATCTGAAATAAACATGAAATTATGAATGGAAAAAAATGTGATTGAATAAAAAAAAACAAACTCTAATGAATTAAGATAAATAAACAAGAGACGAATTAAGTGAAAAATAAAGCATCCAATGTGGTTATAGAAGAAACGAGGTTTCATTAAATACATAAAAATCCCTGCACTGTATTTCAGCTGTCTTTGGCTACATTTAAATCAGCTTTGGCGTTCAGGAATACAACTACTACTGATGATAATTATAATAATGATAATACCAAAAAATACTAAAAATAGGGATAAAACTAAATTATTAAGTCTTAAAAAAATGTATGAATAAAATGTGTTTGAAATATTTGTTAAATATCTACAACTTCTGAAATAATACTTAAAAAAACAAAGTACAGTAAAGTTATATAAAAATATAAACTATATAAAACAAAAAAATCCAATGTGAAATGAATACAAAACACATAACATGAAAAAAAAAGAGGGTTCATGTTCATTTTCACAACAGAGAAGACAATGAAGGTTAAACGCTACATTACTGCATTGACATATCATTTTTTTTCCTCATTTTTTTTTTTAATGTCGGGATCTTTCTCCCGTCATTCAGCTTTACAAGGATATTGAATGATTTAAAGATTTAATACAGTGTCTGTCTGGCGATTTTTTTCCACCCAACATGCGGTGTATGACTTCTCTGACTTTTCACACATTGTCACAGATTTTAGAAATTTTTGGAAAGAAAATAAATAAATGAAACAATTTATATATATATATATATATATATATATATATATATATATATATATATATATATATATATATATATATATATATATATAAAGGAAGTCTGACTTGAATGTGTACAATTTTTGTTTCTAAAACAAATTTAATTCCATGTTTAATTTTCATCAGAGCTCTGCTTATTGGTTTGTGTCTTTTTAAGCGACTTCGTGACGTTTTTTAAAGAGATGCGGCGCAAATTTCACTTTTGATTTTTTTAAGCTACACGATCGCATCCCAATGATAACAAAAACGCCATGGATATATGACACATTGCAAGAGAAACTGCAAAAAAAAAAAAAAAAAAAAAATGTCAATGAACTACCTCTGTCTCGAAATATTTAAAAGATCTATCCTAAATAATTATTTGTGAAGCTCAGGGGCAATTATAAGCCACTATATAGGGGTTTATTATTTCTGGCTGAGCTGCTGATTTGTTTCTTCATTTATTTCTTTCCATGTGTTTTTTTTTATTATGGATCTGGGTCCTTATTCAAACACATTCTCACATCTCTTTTAATTAGATCAATTAGCAGGTGAAGAAATGCAAGATCCAGTTGTGAGCTGACCCCCTGAGGGATCGGGGGTCAGCGGACCCCACCTCCCCGGGACTCCAGTCAGCTTGGTTCTCGGCGTGTGCCAGACATTCCTGTACAGCAGCCAGAGCACCGAGCTCCTCCCCTCCGCTCAGAGACCCGGAGCACGTAGCAACAACTGAACCAATGTACTCCACCAGCGCTCTGTCCTACAAAGACCGCGGTGCCTGGCAACAAGAGACGTGATGACGTCCACTCAGATTGCGTATTATGGGATGTGCGGAATTAAACAGCCTCGGAGAGAACGAAAAGAGGGAAGCGAGAAATAATAACAGCGGCTAAAAATCGGCGTGTTTGCATGGTGAATCATGGAGCTGTCGGCTGTCGGCGAGAGCGTCTTCGCAGCCGAGTCCATCATCAAACGGCGGATCAGACGGGTATTCGCTGCGTTTCTCTCTCCCACCCACACCGCAGCGACAGCATCTGTTACGCAAAAGCATGTGTCCGTGAGGGCTATTCGGGCCCGCTCAGATAACCCGATCGCTCTTCTGAATCTACTCCTTTTTTATTTTTTTGCAGGGTCGCTGGGAATATCTGGTGAAATGGAAGGGCTGGTCTCAGAAGTGAGTATAAAAAAACATCAGAGCCAAGCGAAGGACAGCGCTCCATCCTGGCCGATCGCACAACTGCAGCGCCTCGCTTTCTGTTTTTTGCATGCGTGATGCGTTTTATCCATTTTATGCGCTCTGCATGTTCCGTGACGCATCTTGCGCCAGTCGGGTGTTGGTAAAATCCACGGATTGTGTCGCTTGTTTGCTTCTGCTTGCTTTGGCAGAGGCTGGGAGTCAGCATGCGTCACGGGGCGCTAAGATCGCAGCTTCATGCAGCTTTCACATGTGAAAAAAAAGGAAAAAAATGTATAACAGAAACAAAAACCCAACATACGCAGCATGAGACAAATTGCGGAAGAGACGACACATGTACTGATCCATATAAATGGGAGTGTTCTGGTTTCTGTGGTACAGATACAGCACTTGGGAGCCGGAGGAAAACATTCTGGACGAGCGGCTGTTCGCCGCCTTCGAGGAGAGGTGAGATGGTTGATCAGGCCTCTCTGCGGGAAGATGGCACCATGCGATATGCTTCATAAATCATGCACAGATTCTAGATTCCCTTCATATACTTGTCTTTATCTGAAATATCCCTTAAAGGAAATTAGGGGAAATATTGTATCTTGTTTTGCGCAGCCAATATTATCTGCTTACTGAATTTTCTCTTCAAAATCCACAAACAGTACTTTAAACTTTATGTATGGATACATTTTTTGTCGTTTTTATTAACATTTTAAACTTTTCCAATGAATTATAGTGTAACTGAAATTGTTTATGTAGTTTTTATTCATTTATGATTTATTCTTATCATGCAGAGAGCGTGAAAGGGAGCTGTTCGGGCCTAAAAAGAGGGGACCCAAACCAGAGACTTTTCTCCTGAAGGTGGGGGAAACTTTTCTCAAACTTTTAATGAATCAACTCATTGCATCTCTGATTTATGGTAAAGTATCAGACAGGAACAAAAGTGAAAGCATTACTGTTAGGGAAAGATTGGGATAAACTTTGGAACATGGGGTTGCTTTTTTCTTAGGTTATAAATATAGAGCCGCACAAGAGTTTGATCATGTCTGCCAGAAATGTTGTTTATGATAAATAATTTCCCTTGGTTTGTAAGACATAAATCACGGAAATCTATGCGGCCATGTGTTCCCCATTTTACCCTAATTATTTTAAGTTTGTGTCAACTAAGTTGCATAAACTTTAATTTTTTTTATGCCCCACATTTACATATATTTCATCAATTGGTTTTATTCAAGTGCCCGCCCTATTCCACCCACCCCCCAAAACTCTTTTTTTTTTCTCTGATTTTTTAAAAGTTTTTACATTTATTTTTCGTTTTAAAATTAATTATAACCACTCTGCAACAATGAGTGTTTGTTATAACTGTTGTTTTTTTATATATAGAGCAGAGACTGGATAACGCAAATGCAAAATTATATCTTGCAAACCTTTTATTCTGTTTTTTTTTTTCTTTTCTTTTTTTTTTTTAACAAATAACTGACTCCCAAATTTAGCTTATACAAAGATGATAATAGTCCATCTTGGATGGACATTTCCAAAAATCTTAACTTAACAAAGTGAAAGTCGTGTGCACATCCTTTTTACAGAGTGGTACTTTATAATTTATTTCATCATTACTGATTTTCATCTCATGAAAACACTAGTTTTTCTTATAAAAAGACTATCCCAAAAGAAATCCCTAAACAACACAAACTGGTTATTCGCAAAGAACCCTTCAACTAATAAAAATGATGTTAATGTAGGTAATGCATTTTATTGTAAATAAAAGCTCAACTGAGATGAAGTTGGGTTCCATTTACTGCTCTGCAGAGGTGTAATGGATGTCCAGGTTGTCATAGTAACCTCCATGGCCTTGTGCAATGTTAGGCCTGTTCTTGATCACAATACAATACTTCATTACTTTAGGTATTTAGGTCAAACCAGATAATAGATCACTATAATACAATAAAGCAAATATTGGTGCTTTGAGCATTATGGATGGGTGTAAGGTCCAATTAAAAATAAATCTTATCAGGTTTGTCAGCAGAGGGAAGCATCAATTGCTGTAAAATGTCTATGATATTTGACTGGGTTAAACACAGCAGGCAAACACCATCTGATCTCCAAATCCTAACAGAAAAATCTTCACACGGAACCTTTAGAAGCTAGACTCTGCCCCTCTTCTCCCTTCCTCTTAGTGATTTCCAAATAAAATATATATTTTACTTTCTTCTGAAAAGGTGACCTCTGAACCAGTTCCCCCCTCTGCTTAGGCATGATCTGATCTTCGCCTGAAACTCAGCCATCTGCAGGCTACCCCTTTCTGAAATGACTATTAACTTTAAAATTAGATTTTTCTTAGGAATCTTTCCCATGTACCTATTTTTAATATTTCTTTTCCTTGCACCTAATTTTCCATGAAAGCTTTTGCATACAGTACTCAATGAAGCATCAAGCGCTTCTTTAATGATTTTCCTTTTAGACCTTTTTTACGTTTCTACTTTCTGCTGGATATATATCAAGTAAGTAGTTTTAACTGTGATTGTGTAGCCTGTAACAACACCTATCTATTTCATATATTTGTGTTCATATAATTGTGTTCTAATTTTTGCATATCTGTATTCGTAAACATCGATCAAATTAGCAGAAACAAATGGTAGAAACACTCATTGTGTAAAGTAGCCTGTGAGTTTGAGTGTTTGAATTGAGTCAAACATTTCCAACGATGATGTAATTCATTAAACAATCCCTAAGTTGTTTTCTCCCAGTTTCAAACAACTGTTTAGATATTGACCCTCTTTTCTCTTATTTCGGAAACATTGCCATACTTTCTTTTCATCTATCTCTGCAGGCCAAAGCAAAAGCTAAAGAGAAGACGTATGATTTCAGAAGAGAAACTCCAAGAAGTATCCAGGTTTCCTATCCCATCCCGGAGCCAGTCATAACTCCACGAGCCCGTGAGGGATTACGAGCCGTGGTTCCAACCATCTTCCCTCCGAGTGCGATCAACAGAGGAGAAAGCGTCCCGATCCGATCCCCAGAGCCGGAGAGGAGGCCTAGACCTGCTATGACGGAAGCTCTCTTTGACCAGGAGTCCGGTCGGTTTCCCAGAAAGCGAGGGCGCAAGCCAAAGTTTCATCCACATTATGATCCACATGATCCCAGCATCTCAGCGGAGCCGGTCTCCAAGCGGAGCAGGTCACTGGATGAGCAGTCCATCACATCTCGACGCCTGCATTATCATGGGGAGACATCAGAACACAGCCTCTTACAGCTGACCAAGAGGTTTCAGGAGGAGACTACGATCACGCCAAAACCCAGCAGTGAGCAGAGATATGCAGGGATGTCGTACACGTGTGCCTTGAGTCCAGGCATGCGTAAAAGTGATCAGGAAGGACACAGAACTTACAGTTTGAACAGGATGCATTTTCCCAAACACAGCGAGCTGAAGCGCTCTGCAGAGGAGCTGCCCTCACAGCCTGACCCGTCCGCCCCCTCAGCTCCAACCTGGACCCCTTGTTTCACCAACTGGGACACTGTGACAGTGACGGATGTCACTATGAACCTGTTGACTGTGACCATAAGAGAGAGCAGCACTGCTAAAGGCTTTTTCAAAGATAAAAGATGAGTATTTTCCTGTTGTAGTTCCCAGTGGAATATTAACGCGCAACTAACACAGGCCTACTGCCAGACTATATCTTTTCTATGTAACTTTCAGAACGTGTACATACAGATATTTAATATGCTGCTGGAGAAAATAAAACAAAATAGGCATTGAAGATGTGTTGTTCTTTTCAAGTTTTTGTCCTAAATGATGTTTTTATTAAATAAGTAAAAAACACACAAACAGAAACAAAAAGTTAAATCACAAAACTTTTTGGATCTGTTTTCACAACAGCATTGGAATTTAAAAATGTACATCTATGCCCTTTAGCTTCCAGTTGTACATAGTCTTTAATGATTTATCGGGACTCTGTTCGATGAAAACGCAAAATTATCCATTTTTATTATGGATAAAAAAAAAATTGACTTCAAGATAAACTCCTTTGAGCCGATTTTTTAAAGCATCTGTTCTAGAGGGCATTCATCATTGTTGCAATTCAAAGTTAAATCCATAAGAGTGGTAAACCTGCTAACCATGAATTCTGATGCTCCAATCACTTTCATTGCTGCTAAAGTTCAACATCCCAACATTATGGAACACCTTTGGGTTTAACTCTGGCTTCCTCATCTATTGACACTATTGCTACTGTAAGAAGGATCAACAAATTAGATCCAATAGATTATGAACATGTTGCATGTTGTATAAAGTAGACAGACAAAAACTTTTGGACATGTATATTTAAGGCAAAGGTATTTCTCTGTCTATAGATATAAATATTTTCTCCCAGCTTTAGTCCCTAATTAAATCTCATACAGAAAATGTGCAGATGCTGAAAAGGACTCCTGCAAGTGGGAACAAGAGATCGCTGACAAAGGTTAGATTGTTGTATTGCCTGAAGTAATGATTATTGGGATTATTGCAGGAATATCAACAAAAATTAGCATTTCATTTACCTTTAAAATGTTCCTGTTACATTGAAGAGGGGTGCTGTATGAATAGTTTAAGTTTAAGATATAGATAGATAGATAGATAGGCGTGGGATAGGATGAGAAGCACCACTGGGTCTTTGTTTTGAGGCCTAATCTGATCTGAGGTAAAGTCAGAAATATGGAAGATTTTTTAAGCAGAGAAACTTATCTCTTTAGAAAAATATGTCAATTTCCAGGGCAGATGGACTCTCCTTGCTGAGGGCTTCCCCAGTGCACACTGTCTTATTCTGTCACTGATCCGACTTCTACTTGCCCCACTTTTGTCGCACTAGAGAAAACTTAGTTTCTTACTCCTATGTGGAGTCTGTGATGAGGTCAGAGGTGCTCTGTTGTCACCCATCTTCACCAACCCCTGTTCTCTCGATACGACGGAGACTGAAGGAAGGAAGAACAAGCGCGCACAACGCATCACACCTTTTGGCGCAGGTCCAAAGTCTGGCCCTCAGTCTGTCGTGTAGCCATTGAAGCAGCCACAGTAAATAGAGGAAAGTCGATTATAAGGGTGTGTAAGTATTATAAAATAATAATGATTATAATTTAAACATGCAGAACGCATCTTTAAAATAATCCGTTTCTTCTCTTATTCAGCCTCCAGTCTGTTGGAAATGCCATCATTTGCAGAAACAGACCTTCCTACCTAATTATGTCCGATGCAACAATCTATATACGAGTTTTTTTATACTGTTAAAATTTATAGAGATTTTAAAATATACTATCAGACTAGATAAGTGCAAACGGCTATTGTCTGTAATTTAATTTATATTTCAAAATAATCGGATTTTCTCCTGACATTTTAGTGTCGATCCTTTGGAGCCCTTTAAGGACATTTGAAGTTTGAGCGGCAATTTTACTGGTGAAATTGTATAAAAACATGTATGGCAAACGGTCACGGGAACAAAATTGGGTGCATAAATGATAAATTCGTTGCTGATTACATAAGCAGATCCCTCTACTGCTCATGTTTCTCTGAAGGGTCGGAATGTGGCTGCAAACATAACAGCAGCAGGGATTTTTTTCTATTGTTCAACAAAATAGACCGGATTATATAATACCTAATATTTTAAAATCCCAGTGAACCATCAGGATACACTGTGCGTCTGCAAGGGTATTCACAATTATTTATTTATTTATTTTTATTTTAATTAGGTCAGATTATCTTTGAAGCAAAGCTTCTAGATGAGATTTTATAGAAAGGAGGGGTTTTCCACAAATCTCATGCATCAACTTGATCCAGCTTCCTGCTGGTAGCCAGTTTCTGTCACTGGGTACAAAGCGGCCATTCATTTGACTTTGCTTTGTCTGGGAAATACTTGAAAATCACTCCAATCAGTTTCTTTTCAGCAGCACGTTTTGCATTTTCTTTTTTAATGTAATATCAATAAACCAATAAAAAGTTAATCATAGTTTTTTACATGTCAAACAATCATCCATCCATCTGCTCCCGTTTACTCCATCAGGGTCTCAGTGGGGCTGGTGCAGTCTATGGGTGAGAGGCGGGGTACACCCTGGACAGGTCTCCAGTCTGTCGCAGGGCAACATAGAGACACACATCCATGCACACACACACACTCACACTTAAGGACATTTTAGATATGCCAATTAACCTAAATATTCTCTGTATCCTCCTCATATGTCAGGTGTATCCAATTATATAAACATTCAAACTCTAAAATCTGCAACAACTTTCCTAAAACTGTAAAAGAAGTCTTAATACAGCGCTTCAACTTCACGCATCACTGAGTTTAACCTCCACAAGATGTCGCCACGCACCATAAGACCTTGAAATATGGCCAAGTGTTTGTGTGTGGAAAAGGCAGCGGGTTAAAATGAAGCGGAACTGCTCGTCTTGCCTGGATTAATCATTGATGAAAGCTGGTAACTAATTCCACACGGCTCTGCGCTCCAAAATTGCAGCCCGATGAGTTACAGCCCTCCTCCTCTTCCTCCTCCCCAGGCTACTGCAGGAGTGGGCTTTCCAGATGTGAGGGCAAATGGATGTCTGTGCTTCTGCCTGCCACTAGGTGGGGTGCGTGTGCAAACACGCACCAGGCGTGGTCAACTAAAAAAATAAATAAACAAAATAAAACCGAAACATTTATTTCAGACTGTCATTAACTTTCATCTTCAATACGATGATGCCAAGATTATCCTCAGGGGAAACGTTTGCAAGCAGCTCTCTTAAGGGGCACTGGGATAAGATACTTTATTGCTTTTAATCAATATGACTTTTATAAATGTGTTATTATGAGTCCTACATCTATGAGTCTTTTCATAAAGCTTTGATTGATTCATTCATTTATTTATGCATTGATTGATTCATGCATTTATTTATGCATACATTTATTTGTGTTTTCTTTATTCAATCTAATCCGAACTAACCTGCAGATTATGCGCAGATTATAGGCTATCAATCCAAAACTCCAAAGCAATAAAGTTTTGGATTCTCCCCTAACACGCTCTGTAACCCCATTAGGTCTCAACTCGTGGAATAGATTTTTATAAGTAAAACTTAAACCAAGTTGAAAGAACGTCATCAGGAATAATGTAAAAGATTATGAACCATAGTGAGTTAAGACGCCGCAAAAAGTAGCGCGCTCTCAGCAGATGGCTGCATCCTTTTCTTTATAGTAACAAAGATAAAAAGCTGCAGAGGCCAGCAGCCCCAGAATACTGGATCAGTACTAATTGGACCCTGAGTGAGAGAGAGGAGGGGGGAGAGAGAGGAGGAGGGAGAGAGGAGAAACTCTCCAACCAGAAGGCTCTCCCCTTCCGTTTGGTCTGTATATTTCTCTCACCAGCTTTAAACCATGCACATCTGTCAGCCTCTTGGTTGATTTCTGCAGAGATGTTGCCAAGCCTGATCATCTGCGCCTGCCTGCCTGTTCTGGGCCTTCACTGTGCAGCTGACATGTGTAACTGGTCTGGAAGGTGAGCCTCTTCTCTGGTCTGAGCAGGAATATTTACACAACTTTATTTAGTTGATGCAAAAAAGATAGAAAAAGTTGTTTTGGGGGAGTTTTGTTAAAAAAAGAAAAAAGGTTCAATCCAAACATATTTTCAAACTGTTAAGCGCTGCAAAAGATAGAAACAATTATATGATTATAGGAGTTTAATGTGTTTTATTTTGTTGAACGTCAGATGGGATAAGCTGTTTACTAAAGGAGCTTTTTCTCCATTTATCATGCATGTTTGAGAATGAATCAGTGCTCTCAGAAGAGCATCTAACATCACTGCTCCGGTTCTTTGCAGCGGTCTTGCAGCTGGAGCGGATCCCAGAATCGTCTTGCAGGTGCGGCTCCGCTGCACAGAGGGCTACGTCAGGTGGGTCTATCCGGGTCAGGGTCTCCGGGTGGCGCTCGAGCCCAATCTGTCTTCTATCCGGTACAATACGGTCTGCATCCAGCCTTCTCCGTCTCTAAACGGAACCAGCGTCTTCATTGAGCGGGCCGGACACCTGAAGCTGCTGCTGATGGGAGAGGGCGGGCGCTCGGGAAGGCAGGTGTTCTGTTTCCGGGCCGATTGGCCGCAGAGGCCGGTCATTTACCTGCAGACCGCTCCACACAGTCCTGGAACATGGAGCAGGCGCACAGTGGGCTTCAGGTACGAGCTGCTGCGCAACAAGAGCGCCAACGGTGGGCTGCAGGGTGAGTCTGGAGCTTTTTGTGTTTGTTTTTTTTATCAGTTAGAGGTGCAGTTAATTAAACACATTACTTGAAATATATATTAAATGTTATATGAAATAAAGAAAGAAAGAAAGAAAGAAAGAAAGAAAGAAAGAAAGAAAGAAAGAAAGAAAGAAAGAAAGAAAGAAAGAAAGAAAGAAAGAAAGACAATTTTAAATATTTGAAATAACTGTGAATGAGGTGCAAAAGTTTTTTTTTGTCAAAGCATCATCAATTATTTTGTCCTTTTAAGTTTTTTTTAACACATAAAATAAAATGTAACTAATTGGACCAGCACAGTTTATTAATACAATGTTCTTCTTGAGAACAGAAGAGCAGATACAAACAAACAGGCTACATTTAAAAACTTGCTAAACGATTTTTAGGTCTTACACAGACAAACAAAAATACATCTTTTGCGTCTACTTTAGCATATTTAGTTATTTCAACACAATTATTTAATATCCTACCCTGCTAACATTAAACAATTGCGTTAAAGCAACACAATATGCTTATGAAGTAAAAAAAATGCATGAATTATTTGTTTTTAATAAAAAAATATTGATAAATTAATGTTACTTTCTTAGATTCCTTGTTTTAATATATCACCATCTGTCTTTGTCATTAACAAATTACAGAAATCCAAACTCTACTGTTTCTTAACTATAGTAGTCTGAGAAATGCATTTTAGTTGTAGGCAAATTTGATTTTAAGCGTATTCAAACAGCAATCACAGCAAAATGTAGAGTCATTAAAGAAGTTATATTGCAATATAAAGCAGAATAAAATACATCAAGTATTAAAATAGATTATTTCTGTTCAAGACACATGTCAAGTCAATTTAGCTTGGATTTTTAAAAATAAACTTTTTACATTTTCAAAACTGCATTTTTGATTAGTTTTAAAGGTCAAAGATGTTAGTTAGGTCCCACAAGGATGGAACCAGACTGCATATTTCATATTTTTTATATATTTTATAATGTTGAATTGCAAAATATCAAACCACTACACTCTAAATTGACAAAAAACTAAACTGACAGACAACCAAGACAAAAAACAAAAAACAAACAGGCAATCATTTTACCGGCTAAAGTAATTTTTCATTTGGGTTGTGACATCCAATTGAAAGCTTAGCTACAACACATTTTTTCATCGAATAGTAGTAACTAATTACTAAATTAAAGTTATTAATTTTAATCAATATCTTTTAGCTCAGTCATGGCTGGATGAGACACAAAGCTCTGACAACAGATATTGATAATTCTAACATGTATCTAGATGGACCAAGATGATTTAGATGGAAAATGATCTAAAATGTATCTCTACTTTGTGAGGTTTTAAATCAAATTTTCACTTTAAACAGGAGAATGCTTAGAAAAATCTACAGAAAATGACAATACCAAGGAACTCCACAGGTGAGAAATTGTGTGTCCCAACATGTGTATGCCATTACATTCCAGCGTGAAAGAACTAAAACCAAACACTTTCCTGGATCTATGATCTCTAAAGTAAACTGGAACATCCAAGTCTGATCTCAAAAAAGATGGGATGGACTTTTTAAAATCATTTTTACTCATGTTTGAAATAATTGAAAGCAGGTTAAATTTTCCCTGGGTTTTGGGAGAGTCTTGTGGTGCCTCCTTCCAGCATGCAAAGGGGGTTATCCAAACAGCATTTCCCTGATTAGATACTTAGCTGACTCCTTCAACTTTTACTTCAAGCCTCCTTGGGATTCTGAGTTCCTCCTTGGATGTCTTACCTGACTACATCAACCCTAAGGAAAATCATTTGAGCTGCTTGAATCCAGGATCTCATTCTTTCTGTCAGGATCCATATGACGCTAGGTAATTCTCAGAACCTTGATGAACCACTCAATCAAGAGCTTTAGTTTTCAGTCTCAGCTCTTTCTACAGCACAACAGACAAGGCCTGAATCCCTGTCGGCAGTAAAGCACATCAGCCAAAAGAGAAAATGAAACAGACCCAAAAGTAATCAAAAACAGGATTTTATATCAAAACCAGGCATACAACAATGCAAATTTAAAAGAGATGTTTCTAGCTGAGGGGAACATGCAGCTGCTGGTCAGTCTGTTTTTTGTCTTGTTGTCTGGTTTCCATCAGGACACAAAGCAGAGGGGACACAGCAGATCACTGGGCGACCGGAGGCCACCGGGCCAACAGGCCTGCATTCAGAAGGCAAATACTTTGCAGATTCCACAAATGCCTCATCATTGTTCCTGTCTGATTATTAGCATTTAACCATGTGTGCGGGCCATTCCCAGCATTCTGATGTCATCCCAGCCCCTTAATAGACAGCTGCCTGTTTATCTTTTCTGTATTAGCAGACAGGAGAAGCATTTGACTCCTGAAGTCCTCTGCATTGGAATCGAGGTCATTCAATTAGGTGCGCTCAGAAGAAGCCAAACATGGGGTCAAGACTAGTGTTGTGTTTGGATATGGAGGTGATGCTGTGGGCAGAGCACAAACGCATGAGCGACATTCCTTCAAGGCAACCATGGAGCCACAGTCTGTGATGTGAGCTCAGAGATTAATGGAGATGGCGTTCAGGTCAGGGAAGCCCTAGAGAGGACTGACAGCTTAATTTTGATCACAGTCAGACATATTTGGTTTGATTTTCTAAAGGCAGGAGTTATCTATTGATTGAAAGTAAAAAAAAAAAATAGTCAAAAAATCAGCTTATATTAACAAAATGTTCTCATTCTCTCCACCCACAGCTTCATGCCGACCCTGCAATGACACAGAATTGCTCATGGCCGTGTGCAGCAGTGACTTTGGTGAGTATATAAGCAGGAGTGAAAGCATAAGCAACTCAGAACCATGATCAATTAAAATGCTTTCAGTTTGTTTACAATGAAGTTGCCAGGATGCATTAGCATGATGACAAATACATTTTCTGGGCTTCAATGTTTAATTTAAAACTCAGACCCCAAGAGACAGATTTAGAAAAGGTGTTAAAACTAAAATACGTCTACTCTTTAAAAAAAAAAAAAAAGTGTTGCAACAGCTTATATCTACGCTGCATCATGTTTTATTGCAATACACCAAGCAAGTAAACCGTAAAAACTCAGCTGTTTAGGGAACTGAAACCATCAACTTTTGAATCCTAAAAAGTGTTCCCCTTTTGCTGTCATATACTGATGACTGCAGGCTATTACAGTAATCATTTCTATGCTCCCCCCCACATTTACGCTCTCGGTGAGTTTGTGAAAAAACAATAATGATGATAGTAAGTAAAAAAAAAACTTTCATTGCAGTAGCATTATCTCATCATTTCAGAACGATCCAGTCTTAAACTTGAGGACATTTATTAACAGTGTAAAATATTTCCCATTTAAAAAGATTATTTACAGAATTGCTATCAGTTATTGTTGTATTGACAAAACCTTAAGAATCAAATTGAGTTAATAATCTGTGACTTTTTGGTGTGTAAAATAAAAAAAATATTCATTTTGACCTTATGGATTGGTTGTTTGGGATTTATAGCCTAAAACAAGCCACTTTGATTAAGTTAAACATGGGGTTTTATTCCCTCTATGGGGACTTTAGGAGCTTCACTTGGAGCAGTAGCAACCTCAGGCTTTTGGAGGCCTTTGTACTCTCAGACACACACACAACTCAAATAAATGGGTACCAGGCCTTTGACTGCTGGTGAGGGGAATTAATCATTTGACTAAGGGCTATCGGAGCAGGGATGCCTCTCAAGGTTGCAGGATATTAGCTTTTGAGGACTGGATTTGGGCACCCCTAACCTGGAGCAGTCTACTAGAGCTAACCAGCTGATACAAAAACGGTAGACAGGATGCAGGACAGCAGTTCACAAAGTAAATTACCGGCCTGTTGTCTTGTTTTTGAAGCAAATATAAAACAGCTGTAACCACAGTCTATAAACTATAAAGGTTATGAATAAACGGTGAAGGGGATTGCAACTTCATTTTTAAACTGGCCCACTTTTTATTTAAGTTTGACAGCTATGACCCCGGGAGACTGTGGGAAGAGGCATGGTCTCTCTCTGTATAATGCAACCATGTGACGTGATATAGGAGACTCTGAGCCTAGCAACCTGAGTGGTGGGCTAGTGGTTAGGGCATTGATGTTGGAACCCTGAAGTTGTGAGTTCGTAATCCACTCCCAAAGACTGCCACTCTGGGTCCCTGAGCAACAGACCCTTAACCCCACACTGCTCCCCGGGCGCCGCACAATGGCCGCCCACTGCTCCCCAAAGGGATGGGTTAAATCGAGAGTGAATTTCATTTCGCTGTACTTGACAGTGAAATGACAATTATAAAATGCTAGAGAAAAAAAAAAAGGTATTAGTGGTATAGATACACTGCCTTAAATGTGTGGTGGTTTGAGTTGTGTTTCCCTGCTAATGGTCTTCCTTGTGTCACATGCTGTGCTACCTGAAAAGGGGGAATGAAAAGAGTAGAATTTTTGTGACTTTAAGAACTATATGTTGTTAAAGGATTATTTTTTCTATGCATCTTTTCCAGTTGTTCGAGGCTACATTAAGGATGTCTTCCATGACGCTCGACAGCAGATTTCGCTGATGGAAGTGTTGACGACCAGGGTTTACTGGCAACGTAGTGGAGTGTTTGAGAAACCAGGGCATCCATATGTGCCGTCTCAGTCCCGGCATGGACACATCCGGGTGCTCTTCCAGTGCAAAGTCAAGCTTGGCGATGGACAGTTTCTCTTCACTGGATCAGAGCACTTTGGGGAAGCTTGGTTAGGATGTGCGCCACGCTACAAAGACTTCCTGTCCATCTATCACAAGGCCAGGATAGGACGTAAGAATTCCTGCGACTTCCCTCTGGACTGAAGAAATGTGTTGTTTAAGTAGCCGAAGAGACCCTGTATCGGCACCGTGGGGACCTTGTAAAGCTGTCATATGCCAACAAGATGGCATCAAGGTTCAGCAGCAGGGAGAAGCTGCTGAAATGATGTATAAAAAAACACATGTAATGGGGGAGAACAGCAGGGCCTCCTGAACTGAGGCTCAGAGAGGGCTGGCCTTTGTCCTCTAGCATCGCTGCCTTTAGTCCTGGGAGACTGAGGAGGGGTTGGGTTGCTGCACTCTCTTTAAACAGTCCTTGCATTAGCTGTTGTTCTCTTTGCAGTCTGTGAGACCATTGCTCTATGATACTAGGTGGGAGAGAAAAGGAAGGTCTTCTATTTGTCGTCAAAGCTAGGCTTTGTGAGGCTAAGCTTAGGCATATGGATGCCTGTAGGAGTTTGCTTTACCCAGTTTATATTTAATTTAATTCAAGTTTTTGCACTTGTATTTACAGGCTAAAGATGATTAAAATATGATGGGTAAATATCTGAAACAGGACAGTAATATTCTCTGCATGTGTGTGTCTGTAGTGGTGTAATGATGTTTGATGGGTGGAAAGATGCAGCATTGAAGCAAAAGTCACACTGGTTGCTTTTAAAAATGTAAAAAAAGGTTTATACTTTGTCCTGCAAAGGAAATTTCATGTTAAAGTGTTTTTAATAGACCAACATAATGTAATAATTGAGATGGATAAAGTCAAACAAGTAAACTTGTTTACTTTGTAGAAATACTGTCTTCTGCAACTCCTTTATTTCTGCATCTCTAGAGAAGGACATTCAGATGGGATGAACAGCAGTTTTTAAGACACGTGTTCATCATAGGATTTAGATCTGGACTTTGACTGGCCCATCCTAATACATGGACTGGTTTTGATGTAAATTATTCTATCATAGCTCTGACTGTAGGTTTAGGGTGATTGTCCAGGTGGAAGGTCAATCTCTACTCTTTCTATTTCTATTTCAGCCTATAAAAAGTTACTCCTCGTTATTGGCCCAACATTGGCATCTTTAAGAAAACTACACATACGCCTTTAAAATCTATATATGTGATGTTTGTAACTGTTTTGTAATTATTAAAACTGATATCTTAAAGGAAAATTATTCATTCCCTGAAAAAAAAAAACTCCAAATCCATCAGATCATATACTAAACTCTAGCTCCTCTTCTTTTTGCCATAAGGGTTTTCTTCTCTTATTCTTATCTAATTGTTTTGGAGAATTGGATTCCTGTAGAAGTGTTCAACATGTATCCTTTACTTCATGATAACACTAATGATAATAGTGTTAAATAAAATGGGTAGATCACGACTAGATGGGGTCGGAAACAGAACTTTCATTTTGAATTTATGCCCCTCTGTTTCTTGGTTCAGGAAGACAACAGATGTGGGGGGCCCCTCAAATCCCAGATATCCTCCCCCGTGGCCCCTCCCATTCATGAGAAGAATCAATTGACTTTTAAAGCTGCTGCTTACTGAGCTCTTCCACACATCCCTCAATGGCTACGGCAAGCTCACAAATTTGTGAACTAAACTTTTTATTAGCACTAAATAGCTGCCAGTGAAAGTGTACATGACTGAGTAGTGAACAGCGAGCACACAATGGCCCCATGGTGACAAGGTCTCTATCAGGCATAATAACCATTGCTTTAGCTGTGGTCAAAGATAAAGGCTGCCTGGGCAATGGATTTTAAGAAAGACGGAGGATAAAGTGTGTTTAACTCACGTAACAATATAATGTCTTGTTTTTTTTTCATCTTTAAGCTTTTATTAAACCTTTTTAGGGCAAACAGAACCCATACGCAGACTTGCACTGCAAGAGAAATAAAGTAATTTAATATTTTGTGTATTTAAAAGACATATCACATTATGTTAAGCCTGCTCTGATAGGATCTGATTGGATGAACACCTCCTGGCAACTCCTCTAGTGCCTTCTGGAACAACTAAATTTATAGACTTAGACATATAAGAAATTAACCCTAATCTTCAACACTATTTGCCCAGCATAGCCTGAGACAGGACCAACCCCTCTGCTAGATTAGGGTGCATTAAGTGTGTTTGCTTCTTATGCCACAGAATGTTTGTCTAATTTGGAGTAAAATTTATCCAAGACAATATTTGTAAGAACCACCAATATATCTAAAAGAACTGAGGCAGAACTTAAGTGCTTTTCTAGACTAAGATATTTTCAGCATTTCCAGCATTGAAAATTTTGGAATGCTTGGTTTTGGAACTGTAAATCTCTTTTCCCCTTGAAAAATGTACCCTCAAAACAACATTTAAATGAATTTAGAATCCATATAAAATGCCTTTTATTAATTCCAAAGAAACCAAAACCTCCTGGATAACACATATTAACTCTGTTTGTTTAGCTTCAGATTCATAAAACTTCCCTGTTATCAGAAGCCATTTCAAGAGTAGATTTAATTTATGGTCTTTGCTCATTTTTGTTTGTTTTTACCTAATTTAATCAGCAGAAAATAGATGTCGTTATGAAAACGACTAAAGAAATTCTTGATTAGACTGATTATATCATGATTGCTAATTAAAGGGGATCCATCATTGATTAACCCATAAAAACCTCCCCTCTTTATATTTTCAATGAGAAGAAAGATAACAAAGCCTTAGATTATAGAGCTGATAATAAAAGAAGAACATTTATATTATCATAGCTTATCATCACTATGTAAGGATAGCCCCCCTTAAAAAAATCCCAGTATGATATTGCCTCCCCCAGGTCTTTCCCAGGAGGCCACCATGTCAATTTTTCAAGCAAAATATAGTCTCTCTCCAGGCTTTTGAGACCACACAATTCCCATCTCTGGGAATTCCAGCTGGCTCTCAAGGGGATCAAGCCGAGGAGGGCTCGGGGCCCGGAGCCCCGGCATGGTGCAGCCGCAGGAGATCGCTCTGACTTGGGGGGTAATTGGTTTATCCCACCGCCTGGCCTGCTTTCCCATGTGGGCCACTGCTGCGGGGAGGCCCAGGGGTACAATATGAAAACAGCATGACACCCTCCAGAGCCGCGCCAGCATTGACCGCTGCAGCTATAGAGAGCAGGGACAGAGTAGCAGGAGCACAAAGCTGGAGAGGACATGTCTCTTGACTTTGAAAAGGTTTTTTGGTCTCTTTTTTTAGAGAAAAAGTGGGAAACATTTGTGGTTGAAAGCAAGAAGTAATCAAATTTCGACTGAAACACTTTTAAGCTGAAAGAGGTTTGAGTCTGAGGCACCTTTCAGGGGTCAGTCTGTAATTTATCATTCATGGATATATATTTATATTGTCATTTTGGTTTAGATGATAGAGAACAGGCAAATACAATTTATTTCTCTTTGTTTGGCTAACCTTTTTTTTTTTTTTTTTTTTATAATAACCTGTTTATAATCCTACATATCACCTCTGTATAATCCATGTTTCTGGCATATAGTGCCTTACAATTGGAAACCATTAACTTTCATAAATCTACAAAGTTTGAAACCAAAAAAACAGTTTTGTCAACACATAAACTATTCTTCATGTAAACAGTGGCAAGAAGAAGGTCATAATAACCCCTGTGTACAAATTACAGCATACCATGAGGGAGACACAGTAAGCAATTAGAAGAATATACTCAGGTCAGACAAGAATAAGAATGAATATTTTACCCTACATGCAGCATACCATGTGTGCAAAAACAAAACATAAAAAAAAAAAACATCAAATTTATCTGATTAAACCTTATCCACAGTAAAACATGGTGGTAGCTGTATTATGCTGGGGGGATATTCTTACATAACATAAAAAGCTGAGATGGAACTCATTGTATTTTCAAGACTAACAATACTCATAAACATACGATCAAAGCTATAAAGAAACGCTCTATGTTAAAGTGGAAGATAATGTGTCTAAAAATGGTCAATTTAGATTTAAAGTGAAACACAATTGCAAAGTATTAACAAATGAAAAATTGAAATTAAAAATGTAATTCTCAAAAAATTTCCATCTAATCTTGTGGATCATTTTTGATTATGAATTTTATCAGAACTCGTTTCATCTACTATAGAATAACTGGAGCTGGCGATTGGAAGCTGTCATTACCAGTCCTATCCACACGGTGGCAGCAACTCACTCTAAAATAAAAACACCCAAAACAAACTGCGGTTGATCTAAAACATTTTTGCAAGTGTTATTTTCTAATGTTTATTATAATTATAAAATGATTATTCTGTGAATACAGAAAAATACCCAGATATGAAATATGTCAGAGGACCTTGTGTTCACAAACGCTGTTAAAAAAGCTGTGATATCTTCTCAAATCTGTGTATTTAATAGCAAGTAGGTGTAAAACTATACAAATTAAAGTGAAAACTTAATCATATAAGAACCAAAGGATTAAACAAAGAAATCTGATAAGCAAAAAGTTTGTTAACAACATGGGGGGCGCCGTATGGGGTGGGAAGTATGGAAGATTTCAATGGCCCTTGACTGAGAGGGCCCCAAAAGAAAAAGAAAACAAATATTTCTAAATATTTCAAATCTAAAAAACCAAAATCCTGCAGTAAAATAAATTATCTTTTGTGGTCTTGCTGATCTTTCAGCATTAAACAGCGAGACAAAGCATGAATATATTGACCAACCCATTAAAAGGCATTTATAAATCTTGATCATTCTCATGAGCAGCCTGAAACAGATACACCAACAATACTTTTATTTTATTGTCTTTACATGTATATATGTATAAAAATTTCTAAATAAGCTCTTATTATTTTGAGAGGATGAGTTTTAATGTAAAGTTTGAGGTAAGTGTATATTTAACTTTTTCATGTGATGAGAATTTTAATTTGTCAAAATTGTACAGTAAAAATGACATTGAATATGTAAATAATGCTCATGGTCCATCTTCATATCAGTTTTAAAGCTTGTGCCATTTTTTTTTTATTTTTTTTTTGTGGGGGGCAGTCTTTCTTTGGGCCCCAAATTCCTCGCGGCGCCCCTGGCGGTATGTATTAGAATTCAAAACTTCAGGACCAATTAATTGAATAAACTTTTTGAAATTGTTTTCTTCTATTTATTTTTAAACTGTGACACAGATTTCTTTCTTCTTCTTCTTCTTTTTTTTTTTTTTTAAGTCTAATTCTCAAAAGGTGTCACATGTCACCAGGGGCCCATGCGCCTTGCTTACAGTCGGGAAGTAGAGGCACTTCCTCCTTCATACCTCTCCTGGTTGTGAAACCAGATCATTTCATTTCAATGGGGATCCAGGGGCCTGTCACAGCTCCAAACACTGAATCCTTCTAGATCAGGAGGTTGGACCCAAAGCTGCGGCGGATGTCAGCCGCTTCGGTCCTGAAAGTCTTTTTATTTTTAGTGCGTAAAAAGCGGCTGGAGTGAAAATAATGGCTGCGACGTAGCGCAACTTTTGGATCCAAGGGGTGGATGATCGAGAGTCGGACTCAGTGCTGCTGGTGACTTTTACGGACTAGAGGGAGACTTGGAAGAGGACTTTCAGCATGAAGAAACAGTTCAATCGGATGAAGCAGCTGGCCAACCAGACTGTTGGAAGGTTGGTGCTGGATCCTGTGACATTTAAACCTTTAAATGCTTGGCTCCTCTATTGTCAGCAGTCTGCTTGTTGTGGGCGGTGTCTCAAGGACTGGGACGTGATTTTAAGAAAGGGAAAACTTAAATGTTAATTAGTTTTTTTTTTAAACTACTCTATTTTCCATTTGTTTTGCCACAATAGGTTTAAAATCGTTAAATAACAAAGTATTACTTTAACTCAAACAGAAAAAAAAAAAAAAATATATTAAGTCTACGCTTACTAAAGGTTAGATTTCCCTATTTTTATTTTTTACTTGCATAATCCCAATAGCACCAACTCAAATAATTAAATGCAACCAATATAACTGTTCATATACAGAACATGGGCGTCTCCAAAACTTCTAAAAAGAGGGGCCAAAAATAATCTCCAGGCCACCAAACGCATTTAGGCCCCGTCCACACGAAGCCAAACCCTGGCCTAAACGCACAAACTTTTCACCAAACCAGCCTCTCATCCACACGAAGCCGGCGTTTCAGGGGTCTGTAAACAATCTTTTTTTTATTCAGCCTTCAGAGTGGGAAGATTTTGAAACGCTGTTTTCGCGTTTCCATCTTTAAGCTCTAACC